ATTTTTGCCCTTTTTTCCCCACAATTACCTACTTTTAATTTGTTCTTAAATCACATACCCATGATGGGTATTCACCATTTAGTTGACCACTTCCTTATCCTTTATTGATTGGAAATATTATAGGAAAATTATAAAACAGTGGATAGTGAAAGAAATTATTTATCAAAAACAAGATGTACAACTTGTACCACGATTTCTTTGCATCATTTGTTTGTTATTATTTTTTTTACACTGATGTGTAATTTTCACATTTTCACAATATTATGCGTCTTGTGCCCGTGGTAAATTTCTTTGTTTTGGAGGGATTTTTTATTTTTACAACAAAAATGCTAGACCGAAAAAATTTACACTATACATTGATGAGTTTGGGAATCATTGTGTAGGTGTGAGAGAGAGAAGAGCCCGGGCAAGTTTAGGAAGTGGAAATAATCGTTAAAAAGTCATTAAAATGTCAAAAACTACACAAAAAAAATTAAGATTCTCTTTCCTCTCTTTTTTTGGCATGTTTTTTAATAAAAAATTAAAAAATCACCCTAAACATATTAATTTTTTTCATTTCATACTTTAGTCAAAAAAGTTACTAAAATAATCTATTCTTAAAAACAACAACATTTTTCTACTATCTTCATAGCCTTAATTTACCTTTTTATTTTTTTTATTTTTTTTTGTCCTTGCGAGTAAAGTTATAATGTAACGTATTTAATCCAGTAATTTATAATATGTTTAGTAACATTTATATTTATAATTTTCTATTTATATTTACAAAAAAGTTTAAAATTATAAATAAAAACTCATTTTGTTTCTATTTTCATTTTCAAAAAGTTACAAATAGTTTTCAAAATTATTAAATTTTGTAAACACAAAAAATTACTTTCACTTTTTAAAATTTTTTTTTTTTTTTCATTTCTTCTTTCTCCCATCCTTTTCGACCACCACTCACCTTCGGTCACCATGTCCCTCAATCGCAAACGACCTGCCATCAATACCAACAACCTCCCACCAGTGGTAACTACCTTCGCCACCACCTTTTGTTGAAAATCGCCTTCAACTACCACCTTAGATGGCTTACCAACCACCATATCAGACTATCTCTGGCTACTGCCAACCACCTTTCACCAGTAGCAACTAGCTTCGGTCACTATCTCCCCCAACAGACAACCAACTTTGGTTGTCATCTCTAACCATTGATAACCACTCTTACAACCACCCCTTTTAACTTGTTTTGAAAACAAAATTTTAAAATATGTGTACCAAACACATTTTTTATTTTCATTTTTATCCAAAATAAACATAAACATTAATGTTTTCTGTATATTAAAAACAATAATAAACATAAACATTAATGTTTTCTGTAAATTAAAAATAATAAACTATAAACACTATAGTGCTCGTGGATGGAATATGGCGACAAGCAAATGGCAGCGTTGGAATAGCGTGGATTTGTTACCATGGCGATGGTAAACCTATAGCACAAAGAGCTTTCCAACTTCAACTTACATCAGCTTTTGTAGCAAAAGTGATAGTTTGTCAAAGGGCGATCCAGTGGGCAAAAGAACAAAATTTGCATAAATTATGTATATGGACAGACTCACAACTTTTAGTAGACGTACTATGTAAAAGAGTTGGTCCGTTTTAGTCTTCTTCCACTATACTAGCAGATATAAAGTCGTTTAGTAAGTACTTTGATTATCTTTGTGTATGTAAGGTCAAGCATCAGGATTCTATAAATAATAATAATAATAATCCATTATCATACTATAAGTTAGGGAAAGTTTGATAATCTCATTCAATACTTAAAATTAAATGTATTAAATGATAATCAATTAAATTCGTTGGATAATTACAATTGATATTACTTAAAAATTTCAGTGCCTCTTAAAATGAAGACTAAAACTTAAAAAAAAATCAAGTCATAAGAAATTTACTTAATTCTGACTGAATTTATAACTATTATTCATAAGTATCGATATACACTATTACAAACTCACCACCATCACTATTACCACAACACCACCATCATGCCACTGCCACCACTACTATTACCACCACCACCACCATCGCTACCGCCGCCACCACCATGTCATAGCCACTACTACCACCATTGCTATCGTTACTACACCACCACCATGCAACATCCACCACTATCATCACTATCACCGCTACCACTATCATGTCACTACCACAACTATTACCACTACCACCATCATACCACCACTACTCCTATAACCACCATCTTCATTATCATTGTCATTGTTATCATAAGTACCACCATTATTTTACTACTACTACTATCGCTACCGCCATCACCACCATGCCACCACTGTCACTATCACCATCAATGCTACCACTACCGCCACCACCACCGCTACCACCACCATCACAATATAAAAATTGAGATATACAATTTACAAATAATAAATTTTATATTTAAACTTATATATATTAAATCACTTATTTTTAGTTCAACACTTAAATTTTTATCAAACAACTTGTCAATTTAAAAAAATTCAGCATTCAATTTTTAATATTTAATTTTTAGTTTTTAATTTTCAATTTTATCAAATACCACCTTAGAAATGCATTAATTTTGGGCATAAGCCGACAATGCTATCATTTTGGATCTCGAAAAATTGAATAAAAAAAAAAATTAAAATTTTGTTAACTATTATATTAGCCTATAAAAATATACTACAAGAATTTAAAGGACCTCAATAAAATCCAGTTATGATTTAAAACTAATAGATGGTTGATGTGATAATTATTGAAACTAATAAATAGTTGTTTTTAACTGAAAGAAACCAAAAAACTCATTAATGTGGTGAATTGTTTGAAATTATTGAATAGTTATTTTCTAAATGTATAGAATACGATTGACTATACTACTTACAGTTGCTTTTTTCAAATTAAAGTTCATTACATATTTCCTTTGCTCATCTATATCAAATGAAATATTAAATAAATTAGCAATTTTATCTATAAAAAATGATTTAGCTTATAATTTAGATTATGCAAACTAGATCAATAATGTTACAGTTAAAAATGCGAAAAAAATGATGTTTAAGTGATTTTTGTTACAATTTGTTTACTTTTTATTTGATACTTCAGTTTAGATTATTTTGGCCATTTTTTAATTGTAAATTTTAATGTATACTTAAGAAAATTTTAGGATAAATTACACTTTGCCCCCTTAAAATTTCACCAATTTCCCACTTTGGCCTTTAAGTTTGATTTTTCTCACTTTGACCCTTTATGTTTGCAATCCTTCCCACTTTAGCCCTACATATTTACAATTCTTCACACTTTATTGTTAGACTAGCTTCCATTCAAAAAACTAACAGAATATGCCACATTGCCAACACATCAACTCCATGTGAGATGTAAAAAATTCACTAAAAATGCCAAAAAAATGAAAAATAGAAAACAAAAAAATAGAAATTTTTTTTTTAGTCTTTAATAAACTTTTTTTTCAAATTTATTCATCAATATTATTCATTATAGATGCATCTAGATTAGATGCACCTAAATAAAGAAAAAAAAATTATTAAAGACGAAACTCAAATACTTGTATTGTCAATTCTGAAATGAAAAGTTTACTATCATTTTTTTTTTTATCTTTAGTGAACTTTTTTTTTTATTTTTTTAGTTAAATTTGTAGTTATTTTTTTAGGTGCATCTAAACTAGATACATCTATAATGTAATAATGTTTATAGATAAATTTGAAAAAAAGCTTCACTAAAGATTAAAAAAAATTAATTTTTTTTGTTTTCTATTTTTCATTTTTTGCATCATTAGCGAATTTTTTACATCACACGTAGAGTTAATGTGTTGGTGTTGTGACAGATTTTATTCACTATGCTTGGTTTTAGTTTTTTGAAACACTTTTCAAAAAATTATACTTTTTTATTTTCCGTACTTTTTTATTTTTACTGAATTTTTTTAATATTTTATACATTTTTTTAAAAAAATTTAGACACAGCTAACATAAATACACTTAAAAAATATAATTTTGTGAAAAAAAAATTTTAAAAATTCACTAAATACCAAAAAAAATGAAAAATCAATATATTTTTGTGTATTTATTAATTTTTAAAAATATTTTTTCACAAATATTTTACTTTCTAAAAAAGTAAAAAAAAATGCTTAAAAATTTAAAAATTTTCACTAAAAATTCAAAAAAAAACACACAAAATAAAAAATTCAATTTTCAAAAAACTTAATTCAGCAAACTGAAACTAAACACTCTGATTAGTTTTTAAATGGAAGTTAGTTTACAAGTAAAGCGGGAAAGATTGCAAACATGAAATGTCAAAGTAGGAAGGATTGCAAACTTGAAAGGCCAAAGTGGGAAAAATCAAACTTAAAGGGCCAAAGAGGGAATGATTGCAGATATGAAGGGCCAAAGTGAAAAAAATCAAATTTAAAGAGCCAAAGTGAAAAATTGGTGAAATTTTAGAGAGGCGAAATGTAATTTACCCTAAATTTTAATAGATATATACAAGAAGTAACCTTTTCACGAGTATTGCCAAATATCAAAAAATAAAAATTAAACACATATCAAAAAAAAAATTGAAAAAAATTCTCTACAAATAAATTTTCAAGAGTAATCAAACCAAACAAATTTTTTCAAAAAAAATCTCAAAATTTTATTTGGTTACCTACTTTCTAAAATCACTCTATCTCTCATACACATCAAATCAATCACTTTTTTTAAAACTCTCTTCCCACAACAATTTTTCAAAACCATTTCTGAAAAAGGCAAACCGAACAAGTTTTCGTACTTTTTATCTCAAAAACTACTCTACAAACACAAACCAAACACACCAATAATTTTTTAAAAAAAAAAATAGGTATAAAATGTCCCTGCTGAAAGATCGCCTTAGGCGTCTAGGCGTTAAAAAAGTCAGAGCCAACCCTAGTTATCATCCCAATAGTCTCACATAAAAGTGAACAAAATTTAAACCCCATCCTCTTATGTGCGTGTTACCTATTTGTTGCTAAGCTATGGTAAATTGGTAATTTGGCGCCCGAGAGGTTGTGTTAGTCAGGAAAGCTCATCGAAGTGAGATTTCTCAGCATCAAGAACACCCTGCATGAACAAGACAATTTAGTAACTACTACAAGCACATATTGCAACTGCGGTGATGAGATTGAACTGTTTTTCGAGTCAGGACCTTAATGATAATAATAGCTGCATCCTTGTGCAAAACTTCATTATACTCGTGACACGCTAGATTCTGCAACATGCCAAAACCTACTATGACGCATTTAATGGGATAAATTTAAATATCAAAAATAAAATGAGAATTTAATACCGACTTGAACGCAGTTCGGGCAACCAGTATCTGCTGTGCAACAGCATGATGTGAGAAGTTCCAAAGCAGCCGTTAACAGTTCAGTGAAAATAGGCTGAACCTGCATACATTCAGATGTTTTCAAATTGCAGAGTTACATTAAATTCTTGTGCATCATATATAATAATTCACAAATGGTAGCTCAGAACTCCTAAAATATCCTAGCAGTTTCATCCTTGCAACACACAATATTCAATTTCAAAAAGTCAAGGACATAATCAGAACCTAAGAAGCACTGACACTCCAAGATGAGTGTCATATCCGTGTCTGACATAGCTGGAACACGCGTGTCCACATGTCTGACACGCTATGCAGGGTGTAATTTTCTTTTTTTTTTTGTAAGACATGGGGACACTTCATGGGCACACGTGTCTAGTGTTTGGGGTCAAAGTAAAATATAAGGAAATATAGAGGAAATGAGTAGAAAAAAAAGTAGATATATGAACTCAAATATACATTGATGTCTCTCGGATCTATGTATCATAAATTTATATTCATATACACAGAAAATGAAATTATATATTTAGTCATATCCCTAGCATGTCTATGTCCTAATTTCGCTAGCGTTTTGAAAATCACTACATTCCCGTATTTGTGTCTGTGCTTCTTAGATCAGAACAAAACAATATTTGGATAAATTATATGGGATTAGTCTAAAAAATAATTTAGCTTAGTCAGCTGGGGCAGTCCAAAACCAAAAACTTACTTGACAAACAAATCTTTACTCATTAAAATAAGTTGTTCTTTCAATTTTCAACTCATATAAATAAATAAATAAGAAAACCAAAAAAATCAACTGCAACTCACTTGTGCCGAAATGCCAGTCCCTCCAGGATGCTGATCATATAACAGAATTCTTTCAGGAACATAGCGACTATCATGAGGGTTTACACACTCTGAAGCCAAATCTGATGAGTTGCAAATTATATATCTACATGCCAGCGTATCATGATGCAGTCAGATCAACAACATATAAATATGACAAGTTGGGTTATAGCTAACCAACTTGACTTCCCTAATGCAGCTACATATTTCACGTTTAAAATTTGAAAGAAAATAAATAAATAAATTGACAACAATTGTTAAGAAGGCTGTAACCTCAAAATTATCTATTATTTCAGCAATGTTTAGACAACAATACAGATTTTATTAGTTTTGGTTTCCTTTTATTATAAATGTTGACAACTTACAGAGGTATCACATTAAGAAGAGCATGATCCGCAGCATGTAAGCCTGCACGGAAGGACAAGTTTTTAATCTCCACGGCTGCTTTTATAGATTGTGGGACTCGAATCCAAACAGCCTGTTTACATGTAAAGGTAAAAACAAGAAGTCAAAAGAAATGGTTAATTGGACACAACAATGCTAAATGAGAAACAGCTGAAAGTAGAAATCCATAATAATGCAGAAGTGAACCAATACACACCTGTGATTCATATGAATACGTAGGAAGCAAAAGATCAACTGCATCAAAAATTTGGTTGCTTCCTCGCCATATACGATAGAAACCAAACCAAGTAGTTGTTACTTTGCAAGTATTTACTTGGGAAGTTGTTCTAGATAATTGGATATTGGAAATCCTCGCTGGATACGCCTACGCAACAGTAGAATATGCACGTGGTTATCAATACTTATTCCAGTGTCAAAAGGGTTCACAATACTTGTGTAGTACTATTTGCAAATACCCTCATGCAAATGGAATTAAGCTTGTAAACTACATGGCTAAAATACAAGCAAACACAACAAAGATATGATTAAATTCTCTTCAAGATAGCCAGAACGGTCATCTGGTGGCTATATGTGGACTTCTCTATTCAAGAAGGCAGCTTACTTGAGCCACTTCATTTCAGTTTATCTTGCCTCTGAGATCCAAATTCCACAAATTCTCCATACAAATAGGAAGAGTTAGCTGGGTTGAAATTAAGAAGATGAATCTACATGATCTCAAGTAATTGAAATTAAGGGCTTGCTGAGTTGAGCTGAGTTAAATTTATTTATCAATTTTATGTTGTTAGAAATCTAATTATATGAAGCTGGAAGTGCCATGAGAGGGCTTACGCTTTATGCCTTTGTAAAGTGACAAATCTTGTCATTTCTCACTATGATAATAACATCAAACACTATGATAAAAAATGAGATTTTGCAGTTAAAGGTTTCTCACTATGATTCCCTTTGCTTTAATCTAATGAAACTTAACTTTGAGAAAACTAGATACAATATCATATATACCATTTCAAGTTATCATATGAAGGTTTCACAGAAGTATGCAGAATACTGTTGTTCATGTCTCAAGACTCATAACTCATGCAACTAATAGGCACTGTTAGCACAAAGAATTAAGAGCCCACATACAATTTTACCACCAATGACATGAACATCTGTGTAATCACGAGTTTTTGTGTAGTACTTCAAGTCAGCCACTTGGCATAAAGCAATTTTACTTGATATATCTAATTCTTTCACCAGATAGGTTTTGCCTTGATGCATATACACAGCACCATCATAAACCTGAAAGATCAAAAAATATTACTAGGTTACCATTGTAACTGCATAGACCTACTAAATTTTTATTTTTTAGTATAATAGAAAATAATCTGAAGAACCAAGTATGAAGTACGATTATTATTTAAAAGAAATAGGCAGATCACATCCTTGGGCAAAAAGACCCTGAAAGATTGAGAAGCAATTGGAGAAAAAAAGGCATGAAATGTAGTTGGCTCAGCAAAATAAAAATAAATAAATAAATTTGCAAAAAGTGTAAATAATCCAAAAATAATTAGACTAGAAGTCACCCATGGACAAAAAACACTCCAAAGATCTACAACAGCAAAAGTCGAAGCTTTACCATGCATAAATATGAAGTGCCATATATCAATATAATAATTTCCATCAAAACTCATAATCATTTTACCTGAAAGAAAGCCTTGCTTTCCTCAATCTCTTCAAGGACTTCATTCTTTTGCTTGTCAATTACTTTGTACTTCTCAGTTTCAATTGCTCGTATACTAACATTACGAGAAGGCATTTTCTACAAACAAGAATACAGAAAAGGAAGATGGGAAATTAGTGACTTACAGCTGCTAAAGAATTTCATACATGATCAGATATTTCATTAACTATAAGAACAGAGAGATCAGACCTATACTATTCATACAAATAATATACCTCATGCCCAATGTAACTCCAAATTCTGTTAGGAGAATCTTTTGAGGGATCAGCAATCAAGTATCCTTTACTTTTAAGTGCCATTATGGCATTCTTTATGCCAGGACCAAAATAAATCTCATCGTGAAGAAAGCTCAGTGGGTGTTCAACCACAGCACAAACCAGGTGTTGTTCAAGCACCTACAAGAAGGCAAAAAATTAGGAAAGGTTCCCCTGCTACCTAGGAACCCATAATAGACAATAATTTAACAGAAGGAAAAAAAAAAAAAACAACTATCTAGTTGCACGCCACAGAAAATCCTAGTACACTTCATTTATACCTTTCGGATATAAACTTCCGAACGAAAGTCAAATGTTTGGACGTAAACTTCCGAACAAAAAACAGTTCACAAGTTTATATCCAAACAGAATGATATCTTAACAATTCATTATTGTTCAGAAGTTTGTCCTGAACATTTGAATTTTGTTCCGAAGTTTATATCTAAACAACACAAATGGCATGTACTGAGACAAACCATGGTGTGCAAACAGAATATCCCATTGTTAGGCATGTGCAAAATTGACAGAATTACTCTAACGTCCTTTTTTCTTTCCTTTTCTTCCATTCTTACTGTAACTCCAAATTCTGTTAGGAGAATCTTTTGAGGGATCAGCAATCAAGTATCCTTTACTTTTAAGTGCCATTATGGCATTCTTTATGCCAGGACCAAAATAAATCTCATCGTGAAGAAAGCTCAGTGAGTGTTCAACCGCAGCACAAACCAGGTGTTGTTCAAGCACCTACAAGAAGGCAAAAAATTATGAAAGGTTCCCCTGCTACCTAGGAACCCATAATAGACAACAATTTAACAGAAGGAAAAAAAAAAAAAACAACAACAACAACTATCTATTTGCACGCCACAGAAAATCCTAGTACACTTCATTTATACCTTTCGGATATAAACTTCCGAACGAAAGTCAAATGTTTGGACGTAAACTTCCGAACAAAAAACAGTTCACAAGTTTATATCCAAACAGAATGATATCTTAACAATTCATTATTGTTCAGAAGTTTGTCCTGAACATTTGAATTTTGTTCCGAAGTTTATATCTAAACAACACAAATGGCATGTACTGAGACAAACCATGGTGTGCAAACAGAATATCCCATTGTTTAGGCATGTGCAAAATTGACAGAATTACTCTAACGTCCTTTTTTCTTTCCTTTTCTTCCATTCTTACCATCTGTTCTTCCACATCTCCACCACCTTACCAAAACCGCAGCAGCCATCATAGCCCCCAGTGCAACAGCACCAATACCGCCATGCACCACCACTTCACCATCCATAATTATTTTTTGTTTTTATTTCGTTTTCTCTCATTATTTTAATCTCTACCCAAAACACCCAAACCACCACCACCACTATTTGCAAAAAAACCCACTAGAAGAGATGGAAGGTGGCTTGCTCCTAAGGGGAAGAAAGATCTACAACCAACACACTGCCGTATTTTAGATATTTGCAAAAACCGTTGATGCCATTACATTTACTCCAACTCATTCATTTTTGGGGAAATTTCACTTCAGGGGTAACTTTGAATTATGTGTTAACTTCTTTTGGAAATAAAAATACCTGTTGATTTTTAGGATCAACATGACAACACTCGATGGAACTCCTGAAGAGTTTCTGGGGAAACTTCATAAAATACTGATCAAGAGGCCCTTCAAATGCAACATATACAGCAAGTGAGGGCTTTTCCCTTCTCCCAGACCTCCCAGCTTGCTGCCACAGACTAACATTAAATAAACAGAAAAATATAAGAACAGTCGAAAGAAAAGATTACCTTACTAATAACACAAACCAAATTACATTAGTTCTATACCTAGCGATACTACCAGGAAAGCCTAGATGCAGGGTTACATCAATATGCCCAACATCAATACCCAACTCTAAGGCATTAGTTGCAGCAACACCACAAAGATTCCCGCTAAAAAATTCACTCTCAATTCTTCTCCTATCCTGCTCCATCAATCATGTAATGTCAAGGCGCATTATTAAGCAAATTAAAAAGAACCACAGCTGTTGGTGATAATGCAGACATCAGCAGAGGAGCAAAACAACCCAAATATGAAATATACATAAAAATTAAAATATAACAAAGATATTTTAAGTGTATATACACAATACTAAACAGCAAAAGATGTCAATCACAGTAATACAGGAAATTGTTTTATGTGTCCACAGAATTAAACATCAACATCAGTTTTTTTTACTTTTGAATGACAAACTAGGCGATCAGCCAAACTAGGCTTTTGACATAAAAAAATGAGATATGTAAGAGGACAAGGAAGAAAATGAGACCTCTACAAAGGACTTCAATTTTTTATCTAAGGCTCAAAGCATAACAAAACCTAGAAAGAATAATAAAAACATAAGTGCAAGAGAGGGAATAATAAATATGACTAAAGAGCCTCAAGGAGGTAAAAAGTAAACTTCAGAGAATGAAACCATGATTCACAAAATAATTAAGAGGTTAAAAGTACCTTAATCAAAACTATTTATTATTTTCTCCAATTATTTACATAAAGACCACAAAAGGACAAGTTCACCTTAGCCATGGTCCATTCCCATATCTAGAGCATCAAGTTATTTAAGAGCATGGTGATGTTGAAATTCTACCATGAAAAATGAAGCAAAGAAATGCATTACTTTTCTGCCACACATCAGACGATAGTAACACAAGCACCAAACTTCTATCCAATCAAAGGGTTTTTTCATTTCTTGTATAATTCATCAACATCACCCATCATCATTGTTCGCAGAAAATGAAGAACAAAAATACTGACCTGAGCAATATAGCCAGCACGATAAGCACATATGGAGTTAACCAGATGGGGTGCTGTCTCCTGAAGAATCTCACGCCTTATCACAATTACAGATATCAGATTACAGCATCTCCTTAATCCAAAAATTGAATGAACATCAAAGTTAAAGACTTAATAAATAAAATCGGTTAATGTTACATACGTATAGCATAAAACAAGTTCACAAAGTTTGCGTGTTTTGCAGAATACAATGCAACGAAGCCCATGTTGAACAATTTCAGCAAAAAGACATGAAACCTCCAAAATCGGGCTGCAAAATAGAAAAATTCAAACATTCATATCTTGAGTCAAAATACTTCAATATATGGTAAGTCTTTTCCTTGATGTTTATGCATGATACATATATCATATGGTATTATTATATGCAATTAACATATATTGTGTGGTCGTGAAGGCAAATATTGGAAAATACTTGGGATCAGAGGAATGGCAAATGCATAACAGACATGCCTGTGGATATGACTTATCAAGGAATTGTAATTACTTGAAAGTATTGTATGAAATATTACTAGTCTGTTATGCAGTATACATGCTTTTATAGATTTTTCTAGTTAACCACTTTTTCAATCAAAAAAATATTGAAAACGATCAAACTTCGAACACAAGTCTTCAAGAATTTCAGCCAAATGTGTGTTACATCACTATAACCAAAACATAGCAATTAAACAGCATCCTAACTACTTGACTTCTTTCATACTCACCCCAAGGCTACCCAAAATTATATTCAAAGCATAAGTAGCTCAAACCACAAGTCTCTAGGAATGACAACTTTGTTTTAGTAAATGACATGAAAATCAGAAAAAATTGCTTACAGTAAGCTCCAGAAACAATACTAGTTTACAAACATCTGAAGGACGAGAAATAACTTTGTGAAAGACAGTGTGTGCAATAATTTTCTATGACAATAAACATAAGGATTTCTTACCTTGAGCGTCTAAAAATGATATCTTTATCTAAAGATTCCTTTTTATCAATGACATTTGTAGTTCTCTTCGAGACCTACAATCCAGAAGTGCACACAAGTAGATAAAGCAACATCCCTTGGAACAATAGCTACTCCGAAAAATAGAGCACCAGAATAGTGGCAAAAAAAATATACAGTTTTTGGACATAAAGGAGGATTCCAGAGGACAAAGATCTTTTGACCAGAAGGGCTACCATCATTCTGAATCAACTCCATTGTTGGTAGATTAGCAAGTTCCTAAACCATAGGAAAAAGATATGTTTCAGATGAACAATATGATGTTAATGCATGTGATAAAATATTACAGTTAATAAGCGCACATAAGCGCACACACACACGCAGATTAAAGCAATTGAAAATGGTTCCTAAGAAATCATCATAAACCTCATATTTGAATGTTAGAAAGATAATGTATACAACTATTGAAGTGCTTCATGTAGAAACCAATATTACATTGGTAGCACCATGAGAATTTGAACATGAATTGTAGAATGAAAGCAGAAATGGTAAACAATTACTCAGAAGACCAGGATTCATGAATGGGCATTGAAGTTGACCATGACCACATAAAAAAGATATCCTACAAATAACTACAATAAATTATGGACATCGCCCCCTCCCCCCAAAAAAAAATAAATAAATAAATAAATAAGTCAAAATTTTACCATAGCATGTTCACGGGGGTTTGCAGAAGTTGCAGTACAAAAGACAAAAGAAGGATCACTACCATACACTGCACAAATAAGCAGGCTGAGAAAATAAGAGCTTTCCAAGAAATAAAAAAAGAAGAATTAAGTGGAAGGAAAAACCCATATATTTTCCAAACCATATAGGGAAAAAGTACCATGAGAACAGAGCCGCCGAAGTCTCCTCAATATAAGAGCAGTATGACATCCAAATGCTCCTTTATACGTATGGGCTTCATCAATGACAACAAACCTGATTTAATAAGAATAGAGGGGAAAGGAAACCAAATAAATAACAAAGTACAAGTATGTAACATTGTGATCGAGAAATAATACAATGATATTCTCTATAAATGAAAAGCATTTTGAGGAAAAATACAAGTTTACAAATAGGAATTATCTCAATCAATTCCAAAGCAAAACTAGAGATCACTGTAAAACAAACATTACCTAAGATTTGATAAAATCCGCCTGAACTGCCCATGGAATGGCAAGATGGACATGTGTAACATATCTGGATTTGTGATCAACTGCACATGAATTAACAAATTTCAGTATGACAACATAAGGCAGCCAGCTTAAGGAAAACTGACTGTCTGAGACAACCAAAACTTACTAAAATACCAGTCTAGCATTATCACGCAGCCAAATCCTGTCTGCCTGAGAAGTGTCACCATCATAGATACCAATATCTAAGCTAGTATCAAACTCTTTTGTCATAGCTAACAAAGCTCTAAGTTGATCTTGTGCTAAAGCCTGCACCAATGAACAATTTGAAGTATAAATACTGAATAAAAAGCCAAAAACAGATAACAAAAAAGCCATTCTCCACCATATTAAAATACAATGCATTTTGTAATTCAATTTTATTCAGTTGAAACAAGGCACATCACCAAGAATAATACAATAAAATTAACGCATGAGATCTATTCCTGTGAACCTTTGTCGGAAAGAGGTACAGAGCACACGCTAACAAATTCTGGGACAATACTTCTAGTACTGGCAGATTGTAGCAAAGAGATTTCCCACTGGATGTCATTGTTGCCACAACTACATGCTTGCCAGCAAGGGAAGCCCGAACAGACTCTGCCTGCAGATACCAGAAGAATTAAAGTTCTTTCAGAATTTTGGCTCAGAAAAGGATTGCAGTTCAAGATAACATCCATACCTGGTGGCTATACAACCTCGTAATTCCAATACATTTCAGAGCAGATTTCATTTTCTCTGACAGTTCATTTGGGATTTCAACATGGCAGGCAACCCTGGCACTAATTTTTTCAACATGCACCATCTGCATCAGAATAGTCTAGCGCTCAGCACAGCATTCCACATAAGATTTAAATAGAAGGTGGTTTTTATATCCACATCGAAGGTCCCCAGGCCAAAGAGGTCTTCTGAGTTTAATGTTTTTCAGTTAGCTATTCCTAACCTCCAGTCCCAACCCCCTCCCCAGACAGGATGAAAGAAAAAGAGAAAATAACTACAAAGGAAGAGACAAAAGAAGAAACCTGTCCCCAAGCTCCAATGCCCTTTCTGAGATGTTCGACCATTTTCACGGGTAGCAATGGATTCGTATCCTGCGAAGTCAATGGTTATTACAATGGCTCTTAGACACATTATCTTTGACTAAAGACTAAAAGATATTGGAAGTATCAACTGATGAGCATAAATAAGGGCTACTCAAGGATCTAGTATCAGCTCCAAGTATATATGAGTCTATGACAAGCTAATCTATACTACTCTAAAAAGCTCCTAACAAATAAAGAGAAACATCAGAATGCTTTTTATTTTTCACTTTTTAAAAAGAACAAAAGAATTTGACTATTTACAGCCAAACCTCTGTTATATTTATTATATTATTCCATAAACAACCAACACATAGCGAAGTAAAATTTCACGCAATCAATTTTTTCAATTAGTAATAATAAATTCATTAAAGATGGCTAAACGGGAATGCCATTCATATACCGCTGGAAAAAAAATTACACAAAAAAAAAAAAGACCTATACTCCTCCACATGTATCAAAAAGCTCAAAAAGACCTATACATATTATACAATCAGTACAATTGAGTTAGTTCTGAGAATTTGATAGAAGCTTTTTAAGCCTCCAGAATCTATGTGCTGCAACCCAAACCCTGGGGGGTGAAACCTAAAGAATTCTAGTCTCGTATGAGAAATTTAACGTTGATTATGTTTTCATTAACGCTCTGTTTGCTTTGGCAAAAAACATTTTCCATATTTTTTGGCGTTTGGTATGATGGGAAACCATCTCAATTTATTCTTACACTTCCAGAATCTATGTGCTGCAACCCAAACCCTGGGGGGTGAAACCTAAAGAATTCTAGTCTCGTATGAGAAATTTAACGTTGATTATGTTTTCATTAACGCTCTGTTTGCTTTGGCAAAAAACATTTTCCATATTTTTTGGCGTTTGGTATGATGGGAAACCAAAGTCAATGGAAAACAGTTTCTGGGTTCGACAAAAAATAAACTTATATAGGCAGAAAACATTTTCCACTTTTGAAAGGTACGAAATGTTTTCTAGACTAGAGTCTTACCAACGCCATAACCCTACCAACACTACCACCGCCGTCACTACTACTACCACCACCGCCGTCACCACCTCGTTGCCGCCATCCCACTACTGGCATCATCACTACCACCACAACACTACTACTACCACAACTACTAGCACATTAATTTCAATGTTGCAACCAAACAAAAGAAAACGTTTTCTACCAAAAACAATTTTTGAAAAAGTATTTTTCGTTTAAACCAATTGAACAAAAAATAGGAAACATCCTAATCTAAGAATCATGGGCACTAATAGGGAGGAGAACATGTGTTGACACTGACACTCCTTGAACACCCTTAGAAATGTGTCTTAAGTTAAAAATAAATTTCATAATTTCAAACACTTTGCAAATACTTCAGCAACACTTCTCTAAACTTCATGGACGCAACTTATATGGTGAGTCTCTTAATAGTAACAATGTTTGGCATTCTTCTAAATGCAACTTGTGCACTCCAAATATTTTGCAAACACTTCAACGACACTTCTTTGAACTTCATGGATGCAACCTACGTGGAAAATCTCTTAATAGTAACAATGTTTGGCATTCTTCAGAATGCAAGTAGTGCACTCCAAATATGATTTTTGAAACATTTCTAAAATGAACACATCATGTGTGGCCACTGACCAACATAAAGTATGCAATGGAAAACTTCTAACATATGAATATATATGTATGTATGCAAATATAGCAATATGTTGGCGTTACTTGTCATATAGTGTCCCTTTTTAAGATTTCGGCAGGTTCATGCCATGTGTTATCAGTTTCCTGTATCTATATTTATGCTACATAGATCTGACTCAGTAGAAATGTAAAAAACATTATAAAAAAAATACCTACATGGCATCGTGCTTCGAATGAATGAGAACTCGAAGTTGCACAGCTTCTCCTTGCTCGTTTAGCTTCATTTCCTCTTGCAGTGGTACCACTTTCCTTCATAAACATGAGTAGATCCTCCAAGGAAAGGAACTTTTCCATCTCATTCCCATTTTTATTCTACACAGCATATCTCATTATTATTGGATAGGCCAAATACCATTGACAAATTGTAAATCTAGAAAACAAAATATCAATGGCAAAAATACATTTTTCTAATGAAGTAAGTCCATTTTACCATGGCAGGAATCCTAAGGGGGAATGAGAATCTCATTACTAATAATAAAATTCATGCGTGTCAATGTTATTTAAGCATAGTTTCTATAGGAATTCTCTATGGGAAAATGATAATATTTTAAATATTATGGGCCCAATTTTATTTTGTTTTCTAACTCTCAAATGGTCAACATTCCTCCAGGAATGTGAGATTCCCATTGGGGGAGCGGGGTAAACAAATTCCTACAGTTTAGAAAAGTGATTTTTTACTTCAGTAGGTAATCAACAATCATTTTTTATTTCAATCCATTACAAACACCGGAATCATAGGGACATGTAATCCATTACAAACTGAGCCTAAGGTTATTCCCGTATAACTCAAACTCAAACCCAAACCAAACCAAACCAAGCCTTAAGTCCCATCAAATGGGGTCGGCTACATGAATCCTTCTTCTCCACGCGGCCCTATCAAAGGCCATTTCGTTAGTCAAATTAAAAGGAAAGCCTAATCTAATTGGAAAATGATTTGTAGCCCTAAAAAATTTGTCCCTAATGCCCCTAATTTCCAATTTTGGAAACTGTTTTCTTTTTTTCTTTCTTTTTTCCTTAGTCCATTTTACCATGGCAGGAATCCTAAGGGGAAATGAGAATCTCATCACTAGAAATCTCATTACTAATAATAAAATTCATGCGTGTCAATGTTATTTAAGCATAGTTTCTATAGGAATTCTCTATGGGAAAATGATAATATTTTAAATATTATGGGCCCAATTTTATTTTGTTTTCTAACTCTCAAATGGTCAACATTCCTCCAGGAATGTGAGATTCCCATTGGGGGAGCGGGGTAAACAAATTCCTACAGTTTAGAAAAGTGATTTTTTACTTCAGTAGGTAATCAACAATCATTTTTTATTTCAATCCATTACAAACACCGGAATCACAGGGACATGTAATCCATTACAAACTAAGCCTAAGGTTATTCCCGTATAACTCAAACCCAAACCAAACCAAACCAAGCCTTAAGTCCCATCAAATGGAGTCGGCTACATGAATCCTTCTTCTCCACGCGGCCCTATCAAAGGCCATTTCGTTAGTCAAATTAAAAGGAAAGCCTAATCTAATTACGGCAAGAAGAAACCCAAAAATAATACTTCCAAATTATAAGGTGATCATAATTCATTCCCTTCTATAGAAGTATTGAATCTATCCCTCAATCCTTGAAAATAGCATAATACAGCATGAATTGTAAGCTTTGCAATAATATCTCTATTAAAATATATGGAGCCTATTCAACATAAATGGAAAAAATAAAAAATAAACAAAAGAAAAGAAAACAGAATGCAAGACAACTAAAAAAAAATTTACACTATGTGTCTGACTGAGTAGTCTCTAATTCAAGCAAAGGAATCATTAAATGTTTGAATTTTGGTGGAAATGATTATATATTGTTCTATATTCATCTTCTAAGCGCATGTTGGATGTCTCTTGAATTTGAACAAGTCCATCAACATTTCACATAGCTTATCAATGGCAGACATTTAATCAATGACTTTAGCGATTTATACTTGGTCATTTTATGGAAACCTAAAGATAATCTTTTTTTTTTTATCAACAACAAAAAAACCTAGAGATAATCTCATTCCATGATCTATGGTCAAGTCCCCTATTTTTCTTTCTAGCCCCGTTTTAGGTGACAATTTTCCTTAATATTATCTCAAGGGTAACAAACAATTCAAATTTAAGGAGATGCCAAAACACAACCTAAGTATTTAAGAGGTTTCAGTATAATTTCTTCTTGTTTTTTTTTCTACAACGTGTCTTATATGAGAATAGAAACACATAAAGGATTCAGAACTTCAAATGCCCTTTTTTACATGAGAAATAAATAGATGACAAGTCACTTCATCACCACCTCTCAATCAATATCCCAATACATAGTCATAACTTTCTACAGAAACGGTGAGCTGCCCGGCGGTGGTGTGCCGGATAGACCCTCCGACGATCAAGTCAGTCCACTTGAGGAAGGAGAAGACTGATAGAGAGAGAGTATTTTCTTTGAGGAAGAAGTTGCATACCTCTAACGTTCGTCCTCCTCCATATTTCAAGGCTGGCCATGCAGCCTCAAGATTATGCGCGCACTACCTCTGCTGTCCTTCCCAGGACAGGTGGCAGTGCTCGCCTCTCACCACCTTACGCGTGTAAAGGCTTAGTCCTCCCACCAGTACACGCAAAACTGTCCAACGGTATTGGCGCATGCTTGGAGCAGATTTCCTCTACCCCTCACGCCATTGGCCCAGGTGGCACACTTGACCAGAATACCACGACCGGCCTATCACTTGTGAAGAGTTGCCATCACATGCACACAACCGAGCTATGCATCGTCGGACTGTCCCTTTCGAAGGGGCCAAAGGGCGATACTCATGGCCGAGCTGATATTGACCGGTTCATTAGGCTAACCAGTTGTGAGGTATGTCGGCCTCCACCCGTCCTACCTTTATTCTCGGTCACACGAAGCCCACTTATCTCGGCCGGTCGGTCAGAAGCGTGCCGGCCTTAACTGCGTCCACAGTCTAGCCCGGGTTGCTCTTAGCTTGGTCGTCAGACACTGCTGCGCGCTCGGCCGCATTATAGCTCGGCCAGGCATTGGTTCGTGTCTGGTCGGTCGACCTCTTCGGCCGTGCAAGTCAGGCCGCTGGGCCGAACAAGAGAGGAGTCTGTTCGGCGGCGTGCGGTTCGTCATGATCGGCGTTATCGTAGCTCGGCCGTACTAACGCGCAAATCTCCCCTCTCACTAAGTATTTAAGATGTTTCAGTATAATTTCTTCTTCTTCTTCTTTTTTCTACAACGTGTCTTATATGAGAATAGAAACACATAAAGAATTCAGAACTTCAAATGCCCTTTTTTACATGAGAAATAAATAGATGACAAGTCACTTCATCACCACCTCTCAATCAATATCCCAATACATAGTCATAACTTTCTGGGATAAAAAGCAAAATATAAACATTATCAAAGCATATACGCACTCTATAAAGCATGATGTGATATATATTGTTTGGTGTATTCCCAAACACATTCAGCTTTGTCGGCAAGTGGTTGCCTAATACATGAAACACAACAGAAAGTCGTGTGTGTGTGCATGTGTGTGCATGAGAGAGAGAGAGATGATGGCAACAATTGCAAAATTTACAGTAAATTTTGTAACTTCTTTCTTTTTCTTTCACTTTCTTTTTTTCTCATTTCGTTTTTTTATGAAGGGATCGATTAAATCCCTGTCTCTAGCATAATCATCAAGAACTTTACTACCTAAGCTATTCAACAAGTTTTGTAACTTAAGGGCTTTGTTGGTTGAATTCCAAAGTTATGCACATTGGCAAACCAAGAGTCAAGGATAACCAAACCAAACCAAGCCTTAAGTCCCATCAAATGGGGTCTGCTACATGAATCATTCTTCTCTACTCGACTCTATCCAAGGTCATTGCGTTAGAAACCAAGAGTCAAGGATGCCAAGAATAAATGTGTATCCTGTTAAATGTTCAAACAACTCAAGAGTTCAGAAATAGTGAACATACCATTAACAATTTAACAGCATTGCAGAGATTTGTTTTGAATGAACCTTCTCTTTTGTTTATAGCATTGACAATCTTTGATGTTGGCACATGTTTTCGAGCTACTGAACAGGATGTGAAACCAATGCATTAACTATTTGGAAACCTAGCAATCATAATCAACTTGGAAAGTGGGAGGGAAAGTAAAAATGATCATCAATTATACCAGTATGAGATGTACTTTCAACTTGATGTCTCTGTTCCACTAAGGAATTGATAATAACAAGGGTGCCAAGTGAATTTGAAATGCCTATTTCATCATTAACAAAACGTACAACCTGTGAAGGAAAGAACATATTATACATGCTTGAACAAAATGATCACTACATAATAAGGGGAAAAAAAACATATCTAGACTTGAAAAAAATGAATATCACAAGATCATTATCTAGCATGATCAGTCATGTACAACAATGTAGATTTGATAGCATAGAAAGTTTAGTCGAAGAATTATTATGATGGTCTTGGTGAATTATTAATAATGCATATAAATTGATGGAGGAAGAAAAAAAAAATGAAAGAGAGGAGGCGAATTATGTAGATTGTATTCAACATGACAAAAATATTTCTTGTCACCTTTCATAGACCCAAGAGAGAATTTTAAACCAATCAGGTGAGAATAAATCCTGACTTCAACATGCAAAAGCATAGTAAAGAATCTTAGAAGTGGCAGTTGTGCAATTAAAATTAGCAAATGATGTGCAGGCACTATGAGACGGCACAAGCACTTGCATCCTTTGAATGTTACACCTGGTGGAGGACATCTTGCAACAAAACGACGCACAGAAAAGTACACTACTCTAAGAGGACACTGCATCCACAAAATGAAGGACATTTCAAAAATTTCATAAGAGAAAAGACAGTAAAATTACTTCCCAATTATACAAACCCCTGGAGTAAATCTCCAATACTATGTTCATATGAAACGACTGTTACTCAGATTTGACACCAACAATAAGGAGGCCCGTAGAAATGTCAATACAACAGTCAAACAAAAAAGGCTGCAAACTCTAGTAATGATTCAGAAATTCAATCAATTACCTTGGGACAAAGTACAGAAAGATGCTCTAAATCAGCTATACCAACTTGAAGTCCAAATTTACTTAGTTGGTCCAGTGCTTCCTTCAAATAAGTTGAGGTGATTTTTTCCCGTTGCATCTGAAGATATGCAGAATAAATGTTTAAGAAATAAAATGCCTTCATTAGTGTCTTCAACCAAGAGGGACATAGGCACGCATTATTCTCATTTGCATATGGGTTCGTGTCACTGTCTTGTAAATACAATTCCTTTAACATGCAGTGCCCAGAATGTGGATTGGTCAAACAATTCACTGATTCCAAAAGCTGCATAAGTCTTTTGCAATTCTGTTCATCAAGTTGACTGTTTTCAGCAGAATGCAATACACCGGTTATGATGTCATCTACATTTCCTTCCTGTTTGAACGTTCTCTTAAGTTTGGTTTCTGAAGATCGATTAACAGGGGATACCCCAGTCACATCATTGCTATCTCCGGAATTCATGCTCTTTGACTCAACATTAGGTTGATTCCCCTTTCTAGATATGTCACGTAGAAAAGAAAGGTCTTGCATCATATCAGACCATGCTGAATCAGCGGCTTTTGAGGTTGAGCATTCATTTTTGTCTTTCAAGCGTGTTCCGGCTTCATTATACTGCTGGGTTTGTTGCTGATCCTTCTTCATATATGGAATCAGAACAATGAATTCTCCCGACTCAATTGAATGACTTTTTATCCGACTCTGCAAACCTAATTTTACACCCTATCACCAAAAATAGCAGGACATGAGAACCAGAATGAGACAACAGAATCAACACATAAAGCTCCAGCAATTAAGACTAGAAAAAATAAAAAAAAACAAAACAAAACAAAACAACAAGAAAAACTTTACTCCTACCTAAAACTTGTTAAGTCACCAATTGTCCAAACATCTTAAACGATTAGGAAATAAGCCCAACAATGTATATTAAGTTATTTAACACCCTCCCTCAGTGCAACCCATCTTCCACGTATCAACGAAAACATTCATGCATAGAGAGAGCAAGTGGAAACCAAATGCAAACAGAGACATGAACCAGAACCACCTTAAATGCCATGTTAACTCACCAATTATCCCAAAATTTTAACCCGTTAGAGCATCTCCAATCCTTCATATTTTCTTTCATTAAAAATATCTAAAAATCACCTCCAATTCTTTCATCAAATGCTCATCAAATCAAAGGATAGTCATTTTTTTCATCAAATTAAAAATATTTTGATGAAAGGATTGAACTAGTTCATATCAAATCAAACATTCTACTCAAATTTCGATCCCAAAAAAAAAAAAAAAATTCACTCAAATTTACTAAATGAGATCAAATGAACCCAACAATCTATATCAACCAAAACAACTATTACCCAAGCATACAACGGGTGTGCCGCATTATACACGAGTAACAATTGCAACTGTAGAAATCTATGGAATACATGAAAGCATATATATATATATATATAGAGAGAGAGAGAGAGAGAGAGAAAGTTGCCTTGAGGAAGAGATGGAAATTGGGAGAGTTTGAAGCGGGAGGGAAGGTTTGTGTGAGTAGGAGCTTGAGGTGTTGAATGGTTTTGTTGGGTGAAATGGAGAGGATGGTTGATTCGCCTGTCAGGCTTCGGACTTGGATTTCACTCTCACCCTCATTCTCCTTCTCATTCTCCCCCATTGCTGCTCCGCTTCCACCAATCTGCAGTGCGTGTTTGGGTCCGACTTCCTATTCCTCTCCCAATGAGGGAAACACCACCATGGCGCTGTTTGGGAACATAGTTTTTTTTTTTTTTTCACAAATTGGTTACAAAATTAAAAAAAAAACAAATCCAAACAAAATATCAAATCAAACTCCATAATCATTTCACTTTTTCTTTTACAAATATTACATTCAATTACAAAAAAATCACTATCTTCCCAAACACAAAAAAAAAAAAAAATTCTTTAATAATATTCTACAACTAAAAAAATTATAAAACAAAATTAACTTCCCAAACACTCACCATGATGCACAATCCTGGGAGCTTATATTTACACATCCACATTCCCCTTTTTACACACACTTAATAAAAATTATTTTTATAATTTTATGTTAAAGTGAAATTACTATTATAGATATTAAATAAACACATTTAGAAGTTGAATGTTGAAAAAATTTAAAAAAAAATTCGGAACTCTACTTCCAAATAAATTATTTATTTTCGGAATGTTACTTCCGAATCAATTGTTTATTTTCAGAAATCTACTTCCGAACCAATTATTTATTGAAAAATATATGTAAAGAGGGGAATGGGTGTTTGCAAATAGAAGCTCCCCACAATCCTGTACAAATATATTATGGAAAATGAGTGAGAGCACTAATTAGTACTGCCACTAATGATGTGGCAGTAGGCTTCACCATGAATGATTTGATATTTTGACCTTGGTGTTGTATTTTTTTTTCTTTTTTTATTGATTGTCATGTCATTAGTGATATTTTAGAGTTCCAAAATTGATGATCTCTATCATTGTTGATATATTATATCCCAAACAGGGCCTCTGCCTTGAGAAATTTACAGTTCACAGCCTTAATGAAATAGTATTTTAATAACAATTGTATCTTAAATGAAAATGAGCATGTTACACTAAAAAAAAATGTACATTAGGATAATTAAATGTAGGAAAATTTGTTTGTTTGAGTTGTGAAAAGAGTATATATATATATAATTTATTTATTTTTAGATTGAACATATAAAATTTAGTTTGATAAGATTAATAAATATAAATATATATATATATATATATATTTAAAAATATATAAAAAGTAATTACAAATATTTTGACATGTTGTTCACATTTTGTAGACACCTACACAAATAAGAAGACATTATAGATAACTGATGGGAGATTCTATTGTTATGAGGTTTGTGTCTTTAATTATGATTTGTTCGGTTGTAAGTTATGATACATTATGATATTATTTATAACATTATTTTAGTTATGATTTAAGAGTTTGTGTAATTATACCTTATGTAATATTTGATAATAACTCTCTTTTTTTTTTAAAAAAAAGTTATAACTCTCATAATATTGAGTTATGCCATTTATAATAATTAAACAAACAAGTGACATAATTTACATATGGTATACACTAGCATTACCTGATAAATGATAGAAATCCAAAATAATTGTAATTTTATGAAAAAAAATGATAATAATAATAGTAGAAATGGAAAGTTAGCAAATAATTATAGTTGGGTGAATTTTTTTGTCAAATTACAAAACCACACTTCCCTTTTTCTTCTACCTTTCTTATTTCTTACTCTCAACTTCAATAAACTAATGGTTTATGTTGAAGTCGACCATAGGAGTCGGATAATTGGAATAATCAGAAGTGTACTATAGAAGGCAGATATTACACGGCTCTATCCTGCACGATAAGGATACCGAATATAATAGATAGGCCGAATAGATACTGAATTACGGAGCCAAGTAAATAAGAAGATAATGAGTGACAAGTGGGCCTGGCCACGAGGCCCAGGAAACAAATATAAATAAAGGAACAACAGATTAAGAAAGGTATATAACAATTGTTGTGCTTAACTTAGAATACAAGCATTCTTGAGTGTGGATTCTGACTTGTCCGTCGGAGTGCTAATTCCAGCACACTCGACCGGAGTGTTTATTCCTTTTCAGGTGACTAGAAGAGGAGCACGAGCGTTCTCCAGGATCAGAAGAGTATTTCCAAACCACTTCTCTACAACTGGAGCCGTCTGTGGGAATACTCAAGCACATCCATGGCGAGTGTAACGGAAGATCCTCCGACAGTCACTGTCGACCCTATACCGCAAGACGAAACCACTCTAACAAACTTGCTTGGAACAAAGACTATCGCCGCAAGACGTGCCTTGAATTTCGCCTCACCTTCGACTTCGGAGCACGAGACAATGCAGGCGATCATGAAACAAGCAAAGCAAAATGAACAGAGGTTGGAGAACATGATCACTGAAAACAAACATCTTCGTGAAGATTTGGCCTTGGAAATGGCAAAGTCCAAGCAAGCTGCGCGCCTAAATCCGGAACGATCTCCGAAGGCAGGTGGTCAACAACCTCGAGCACGATAAGACACTGATAGCGACTCCGACTCATTATCCCCGGAGCCCGGGAAGAAGGGACGACATGAAACCACCAGTTCTTCCGAAGAAAGTCCTCGTACAATGCACAAGCGAAGAAGGAACAGTTCGGACGAAGACCAACACGATCCCTTCGTACGACGGATTGCAAAGGTTGTGCTACCTAATAAATTCAAAGCACCGTCGTTCATCTTGTACGACGGCAAATCAGACCCCACTGACCACATCCGCCACTACAAGTAGGCCATGACATTGCATGCAGACGACGAGGCCCTTATGTGCTGTAATGACCCCGACCTTCGATTAATGCTAATTCATGACTAATTATGCTTACTAGTAATTTAGGAAGGATTTGGGATTTATTTGCATGTGTATTGCATTATTTATGTGTTTCTATCTGTTTGCGATAAAATGATCTGTTCATGTCTTTGACTTTAAATTGCGAATTGAAAGCCTTATCGGCGTCCGAATCAGAAATCGACTTGATTTATGTGCTAGTTAGGATTTATAGAATTTTATGGTAGGTTTAATTAAAATTCGGTTCGGAGCAATTAAATTAGATTAAATAACGTTAAATTACATTAGTTCAATTATTTACGACATTGCCATTAGTGGGCCACTTTTGGTTTTACTGGTATGTTAAAATCTCGGTGGGAAAAATATCTCACTAAAGATCAAAGAGAATCTGTTTTACATGCAAGTCAAAAAGATTGGCGGATTGGAGAAAATCAATTCGCATCCGTCCGCCAATCCAGGGGATATGGATTGAGCGGATTGGCGGATGGATGTGAATCGGTTTGGCGGTTTAAAATTTTATAAATTTCTAACATAATTCAACTTGTGTACTTCCTCAAAAAAAGAAGAAGAAAGTTGTAATGACCCCGACCTCCGATTAATGCTAATTTATGATTAATTATGCTTACTAGTAATTTAGGAAGGATTTTGGATTTATTTGCATGTGTATTGCATTATTTATGTGTTTCTATCTGTTTGCGATAAAATGATCTGTTCATGTCTTTGACTGTAAATTGCGAATTGAAAGCCTTATCGGCGTTCGAATCAGAAATCGACTTGATTTATGTGCTAGTTAGGATTTATAGAATTTTATGGTAGGTTTAATTAAAATTCGGTTCGGAACGATCGAATTAGATTAAATAACGTTAAATTACATTAGTTCAATTATTTACGACATTGCCATTAGTGGGCCACTTAGGTACCATTGCTTGGAACTCAATTACATACACTTCATAACATTTCCTCAACCATTTTTGTGACCAAAAACGTAAGAAAGAGTGAGAGAAGAGAAACTTAGCTTCAACAAGAGATTTGGCTTGGAACTTAGGAGAATTGAAGAGGCTTTGCAAATTTGAGCTCCTAGACTTGGAATTCAAGGTTTAAGGTAGAGAATTCATCTTCTCCATTGTGATTTTGAGTTACTTCTTGCATGGTTCATGGTGAACTAGAGTTTAGAGTCAAGTTTTGGTTCTAAATGTTGAATTGAGTAGGAATTCTTGCATGCATGTGTATATCATAAAGTTTGAGGTTGTTTTCGTAAGAAATTCTTGCATGCATGTCCACATTTTTGTTATAGTCCATGAACTCACCATGTTTTGAAGTTAAATCTTGCATTTGATCTTGGTTTAGAACTTTGGAGCTTCAAGGAACCCATGCATGTGTTGAATTTGCATTGTTCTTCATGTTTTTGAAGTTTATTTGAAAATTGTGTTTAATTGAACTACCTTTGGGCTTTGATTTCTCAAATTGATCTTTGAAACATGTCATATTATGAGTTTACAAGTGTTTTCCAGAAAATTAGCCCAAAAGGATTTAATTTGATGCATTGTAGTTGAGTTTTGAGCTTGAGGTTCAAATCTGGAAATTCCAAATTTTGGACTCACTCATGCAGTACGCTCGAGCAGCGAAAATGACGCTCAAGCGGGAATTTCATGTATCCAGTACTTTGCCTGTGTTTACAGTCCGCTCGAGCGGGGTAATGCACGCTCGAGCGGGGTAATGCACGCTCGAGCGAGGACTTGTGTCTCACGCTCAAGCGAGTATCGAGCACCCATCGAGCGTGAATTTCATGCGTCCAGTATTTTTACTATAGCTTGCAGTACGCTTGAGCGGAGTAATCCATGCTCGAGTGGATTCCTTTTGTCTGCATGTCCGCTCGAGCGTAGAAGGCCACGCTCGAGCGGAACCCCTGTTTCAGCAAAATTTTGAAAAGTGTTTTAAAGCGCATCTTTGTATTCTCATTCCATCCTAGGCATTCCTAGGCCATGTTTTAGACCCCACAATGAGGGTAGGAGATTAGAAACACACTAAGAGCCAATGAAATAAGTTTTGTACAATTAGAACGTGTGTTTCAAGTGTGTATCTGTTATGTGTCATGTAGGTCACGTGCCACATCCTGTCTGATCGATCTGCTCTGTCTATCTCCAAGCCCACTGTGAGTAATAACTCTGTAAAGTTATGTTCAACTTAAGTATTTTCTGACTGGTATTGTATGATTTGTTTTCTGAAATGCTATCTTACGAATTATGAATGAATGTCCAATCTTCTGAAAAGTATTTGTGGCACCCTTAGTTCACGTGGCCCTCGCCTGGGGGTAACAATACCGCAGCCAATCTGTATCTGGCCC